GGTCAAAGTGAACACATATCCCATCGTTGACCAGCGTTTATCCAAATCTTCAGCATAGTCTGAATCAACATAATTAATACATAGCTTCTCACCACTAGTGTCCCACTCAAACACCAAATCAACATTGAGAATACCTTGAATGTACCTCAAAATGCACCTCACGACATCCGAATGACCCGGACCCAGATCGTGTATGTATCGTGAAACCATGCTAACTGCCTGTGACAAATTCAGCCTCATACATACCATGGAGTACATCAAACTTTTCACTATGCTCGCATAAGGAGTCTTCGACATCAACTCTCTATCTTCAATTGTCTTCGGTGAAATGTCAGCTGAAAGCTTCAAATGGGCTCCCAGAGGTACACTAACTGACTTCGTCTCCATACTAACATTGAATCGTTGTAGCACCTTCTTCAAATAATCCACCTGTGTCAAACAAATTCTACCCTTACCTCTGTCTCTACTGATCTCCATCCCCAAAATGTGTTTTTCTTCACCCAAATCTTTCATCTCAAACTCGCTCGAAAGTTGTATCTTCAACTTATCTATGGCAGATCTAGAAATAGAAGCAACAAATATGTCATCGACATAAAGCAACAAATAAATGTACGCACCTCCATACAACTTAGGATAGTATAGCAAGGATCAAACTAGATCCTAATGTATGAATGGCCGAGCATAAACCCATCGAACCGCTTATACTTATGTCTCAGAGATTGCTTCAACGTGTATAGCGATTTCTTCAATCTATAAACTAATTTCTCATTTCTTTCAGCTCGAAACCCTAATGGTTGAGTCATATATATTTCTTCATTAATATCACCATGAAGAAAAGTTTTTTTCACATCCAATTGATCCAATTCTAAACCATACTGTTCTATCAAAGCTAGTAAGATCCGAATCGAAGAGTGCTTCACCACCGGAGAGAAGACCTCATTGTAGTCAATGCCTTCTTCATGTGCATAGCCCTTCGCTACCAACCTAACTTTGAACCTCACTGGAGTACCCTGAATGCCCTCCTTCTTGGTATATACCCATTTGCAACTAATTACCTTTCGCCCCTTTGGAAGCTTGACAAGCTCTCATGTGTCGTTCTTCTGAAGAGACTTCATCTCCTCCTGCATAGCTTCCTGTCACAAGTCAGCCTCTGAACTCTGCTCAGCCTCTCTGAATGTAGTAGGAACCATCTCATCGACACTCTCCACCGGAAGTGCATATGTAACCACTATATCCGTATACCTCGCTAGCAACCGTATGTCTCTCCTGGGTCTCCGAACTGCAATCGAATCTTAAACTTGAGCCGTCAGTCCCTGATCCTGCTCTGTCGAACCTGTATCCTCTAAATCATCACTGTGCTCATCTGGCGCCACCTCAGTGGGCACTCTAATGGATACGTTCCCATCTGGACACTGTAGAGCTGCATTAATCTCTACCATCTGTGATGTCTCCTCTGTCGGGGTGTCCACCTGATGAGAGCTTGAATGCTTCAAGAGCAAAGCATCATCAAAAGTGATGTTTCTACTCAGCATAATCTTCTTCTCAACTGGATCCTAAAGCTTGTATCCTTTAATATCACGCTTGAATTCCACAAATATAGCCTTCCTAGCTCGAGGTTTTAATTTATCAGTCTTCACATGATAAAATACAGGGCACCCAAAAACCTTGAGCTGATCATAGTCGTGTGCTGACTCTTTCGACCACATCTCCATAGGAGTCTTTCCCTGAATCGCAGATGAAGGCAACCTATTAGTGAGGTGTCTTGCATATGAAAGTGCTTCAGTCCAAAAGATCTTCTTCAAACCACTCTGCGATAACAAACATCGGACCTTCTCCAGTAAAGACCAATTCAACCTCTCTGCCAACCTCTCTGTCATGTTTCTAAATCAAAGTTTTAAAACTTACAGAGACCTCATATATCTCTCTTTGCATTTCATCAGATAATTTGCAAGCAATCTCCAAACTGCCACATCATATACCCACTTAACATACTTCTCCAAAAATCCAAGTTGATGATGGTAGCGAGTTCTATGAGGAGATACTACTCCAAATAACATGTTCCTGTTAAGTATCACAAGTATATGTTAACTATAACAGGTTCTTGATAAGAGTGAAGCAAACAACTAGAGTCCATTGTCAGGTACATATTAACTATAAACTGATCTGGGAAGTATCACATGTATATGTTAACTATAACATGTACATGTTAGCTATAACCGGTTAGGAGATGCTATACCCAGTACCTATTAATTATAACCAGTTTGTTAAGTATCACATGTATATGTTAACTATAATAGGCATATGCTAACTATAAATTGCTCTGGTTAAGTATCACTTATAACTGATAAGTATAACATATACTTGTTAAAGGTAACTTATAATTCATATATTGGATAATTTATCATCACCTGCTAATTAATAAGAAAATAGATATTAGAGCTAACCTGACCACATATAAATATTAAACAAACAGATATTAGAGCCAACATGACTATATATAAAAATATTTAACAAGTACTAGATATAGTTAGTAGGTGATGTCTGAAGTTAAAAGGTATTGAGTATAGTTAAAACATGTATTGGCTAAAATTAAAAGGTACATGGTATAGTTAAAACAAGTATTGGTTAAAGTTAACATGTATCAAATATAGTTAACGGTTACTGGTTAAAGTTAACAGATATCAAATATAACTAATAGGTACATGATAAAATTAATAGATAGTGGATAGAGTTAACAGGTACCGGATAAAGTTAACATGTACTACATACAATGACACAAAACATAACAAAATGAGGTTAATGGACAGTCATCTCAATTGAGTTATACTTCATTTTTTTCATTTGCATAGATATAGAAAATTTTATGATTTTCATAATGAGAGTAATCTATTTCTTAACCATTGAATTCAACATATGCTAAGTTGTCTGGTTGAAACAAAACAACAAACACATTGTGTGCAGAGTTCCAAAAGAACACAATCATAACACATAGAACATCTCGCATTCACAAAAGTTGTGCCCCACTAGTCCCATAAGTAGTTCATCAAATCACGTTAACTTCATCAAAGAAATAATCAAAATTTTTATTTTTGAGGGAACGTCTCATAGCATTTCTTCAAATACTTGACATTCATAAATTTTTAGCTCAAGTAATATCATTTTAACTTGTAGGCTAACCATCCATCTCACAAGCATTTCAATTAATATATCTCAAAACACTCATTATCATCCTCCTCCTTCTTTACCCACTAGATCCGAGCCCTAACCCTGACCTTCATCTCCTAGCCACCTTCTACACCTCTTACAGACCATCATCTATCACCAAATCCATCCATACCTCCTTCTGATCTCCATTTACTTCCCTTCACCATGGACCTCACTAGCTCCATGAGCTCAACCTCTCCTTCCTTCTCTCCTACTCCTACGCATGTTCCTCTATTTCCATCTCACTGACCGTCTCTTCTCCTCCTCTAAGCCTTCTCAAGGCTTGCCTAAGACGATGAGGTCGAAGGGTGCGCTCAAGGTCAGTGGTGGCAGAGGGGGAAACGAGAGAGAGAGAGAGAGAGAGAGAGAGAGAGAGAGAGAGAGAGAGAGGGGGGGGGGGCGAAAGGGGAAGACTAGTAGGGGGAAGAGAGGAGAAAGGTAAGGTTCAGGGGAGAGGAGAAGAGGAGGAGATGAGGTAAGAGCAGTTGTGGTCTTCATGAAAAAAAAAATAGATAGACAGATGAGGAGGAGAAGAAGAATAGGGTTATTTTTGGAAAAAAATTGGATTTATTTTTTCTCTTTGGAAGTGTAAATAGGGGTTGAATCACATAAACTCAAATGTATTTGGGTCCAATGTACAAAGAAAATAATACGAGGGGCTAGGCCACATGAAAAGTTTATTTTTAGGGCTTCACACAATTTTTCCTTAAGGTGTTCTTTTCTTTTCTTTTCTTCTTTTTTCTTTTGTCCTTTTTTTTCTTTTTCTTTTTTTATTAGTTCATGCATGTCCATTCTATAATTTCAAAATGCAAGCTAGATTTCAAGAAAATTTACGAATTGAACAGAAGAAATAGGTATCTTTCTATTTCATCTTTTTTTGTCAGAAGCTTATTTCTACTTGTTATTCAAAGATCAGTAACTCAATCTTCTTTAGGCATGCGCATGAACAGTGTAATCTTCATTATCCTTGGGTCGATTGTTGACCCCGTCATCACCATGTGAGTCCAATAATTTTGTTCGGTAGGCGGTGAGCGACTTATATCAAAGGAAAGCAAACAGGAGGGGACAGACAACCTAGCAAGTAAAGAGGTGGCAGAGAAAAATACTTAGAGATTCAATTACTTTATTAGGTTTTAGCACCCGCGTTTGGATTTTTAGTCATGCTGTCGCCACTGCTTTGGTCATGTTCTTGACACCTCAACGAGGTTAATCTTCGATTATGACGATGTTTATGTTTTCCCAACATATAAATCATGTAATTTAGTCACCCCGTTTTCTAACTAATCCATGGTTAAGTAATTAGTCATTTTAATATCTTAAAAGTTTCATTTGCGCCGGTAAATCTCTTGTATTATTTGCCCAGGTGCGAATAGACCCCTCACTGAACTTTTTCAACATTTTTAAGAGAAAAGGCTGGCAATTTAGGGTCTATTAAAACCAATAGAACTATGGAGGGTCCATGGTCTATCCACCTCCTCAAAACCTTTTTGATTCTTTTAAGAGCAAGAAAATTAACACTTTTAAGAGTGAAAAAATAAAAATACGTCAGGAGGTCTACCCACACAAAGAGAGCTACAGGGGCTTTATTTGCAATTGGTCAATAGTGCAAGGGGTCTATCAATAATTAACACTACAAAAAATGATTAACCCTTTCTTGCAGATATGTGCAAGACCATATTATGAATTACCCAAAAATATCATTTTTGTTAACTCAGTAAAGGGAAAGCATAAGAAAAGATAAATCATTCGTTTCCTTTCATTAAATAAACGTAAAAAATTGCCGAGCACAAAACAAGTACACTCAATGCACTATAAATTCCCCGCACTACCACACTTTGTCGAATAATTAATTAATTTGATCGTCGTCTCGAGAATAATAACTCAAAATTACAATTACATCAAGAATATTTTTAACTCTTTCATAAAATTAATTCCTCCTGCCGAATCTACTGCCACCTCGGCTACCACCACGACCCCCTCCACTAGAGAACCCACCTCTTCTACCACCACCGGAGAACCGATTGCCACCACCTCCACCTCTCCTGTTACCACCTCCAAATCTCCCTCGACTATTTGACTGCTCTTTTTCTTGCAAGGGTGGCAAAGTCTTCAATACCTCAACGGTCACCATGTCTGCATTTTCTTGACCTGATATCAAATCAACACCAGAACCAAATTTTTACACCGAATTTTATTAGAAATCAAGGGTGCAGACATATATCTAGCTTTTAATTGCTAAAACCTAGTGCTTTCTTGGTATCAAAAAGAAATATGCCCAAAATTGACACCTTCCCATTTCTTGCTACCAAATTAAACTAGAGACAATCCAGCCGTTGTTGGTAATTTATCAGACAAAAATTGTGATCTTAATTTTTAATTACAAAGAGATGCACAGTAAGCCCTGGCTTACAAGCAGGATGATGATGATGTCCTTTTAAACAACAATGCGTATTATATATGAGAAAAGCGCTTAAACAATTTACCAACAGAGGCAGCTTTAATTGACATTATCAGCAAAACAGTTTTAACCTCAATGACAACAAAGATTTAAGTTCATACTTTATCATTCAATTTGTCATGATTTATTTGATTAGTTCCTCTAAAACAAAGTGACATTCTACAAGTAAAAATGTAATAATTTATTATTATGGGGTAATTCCCAAGCATAGAAGAGAGAGACTTCAGCAAAAGGCATTTACAAAGAAAGACAGAAACCGAAGGCTAGAAACTGAGGTAGATGACCATAACAAATACTTACATACTGAATGAGAAAACCCCTGATAAATAGCATTTCAACAGAGGCAGCTTTATTTGCACTATCAGCAACAGTTTCATATTTAATGGTAACAAAAATTAAATTTCGTACATAAAAAAGGGTTAAAAATATCATATTTATTTGATTAGTTTCTCCAAAATAAAGTGGTGCATTAAAACTAATATATGATTGCCATCATTTTCGGGATATACGCATATAGTTTAAAACAACTGTGCATTGCCCACCAAAAAATAACATGCACACGTACACGCACACACAGAAAGGAAGGAGCCCGAGGGAGTTGGGGGATGGACAGTTGGGCATGCCATCATGAGCAAGAAGCATTTGAAAAGCAAAAATATAAAACAAAGGCTGGTAGATGAATGCAAAGAGAGATGAGCAAGGGTTCGAGGCGAAGAGCATTGTGGAGAGAGCGGTGAAAAGATTTAGCAATAAATAGAGAACAAAGCATGAGAGTCCACAATCTTACTTATCGAAGTTCATTGTGAAAGGCTCCCACAAAAGCAACGGCCATGATATATCTCATCCATACATAATATCATGTAACATTAATAAATTTTTCTGCAGCTTTAAATGGGTAACCAGTCTGAAAAATACATCTTAATTGGTGATTGAGACTACCTTAACACAGTTAATATCAGAAATAAGCATACCTTCGAGAAACAGGCTCAAATCATCCGCAGGCACATCAAACACTGCGCCCATTCCGTCAGCTGTTAAAGAAAGATTCTTCACACCTTCAACCTTCTCCACAGGCAAGAACCTCTTCATGGTGCTGAATGCAAATCTGGCGACAACAACTTCAATAAGCAATCGTATATAATAACGATAATAAGATGACCAACAATGTACACTTGGCACATTAACACAGGAAATAGATGAAAGAAGCAATGCACATCAAAATTGAATTCACTGAAATGAGAAATTTTAAGGCCACGTGCTTACGTGGGTGTGTAAAAGGGCTTCCCTGACTGAAGAAGTACAGTTACATAATTTTCCATAGATGAAAGAATTGATCTCTTCTTTATGTCAGTATATCCCTGCAAAAGAAGTAAAAGCTCAAATGTAAGTGGTTGAATTCACGCATCCAAACTCCTCCCAACTGAGAAAAAAAGAATTAGAACACACCGCAGATTTTGCAAGTGCTTTAGCAAGTAGATCTACTGCTGATATCCCAGAGGAACTCAACAGTTGCTCAGCTTGTTGGCGGAAAACTGGGATCACACTGCAATACAATGCGGACTCAAAAATCAAATCAACAGCCAGAGTTTATTTTAACGAGACTAGTTCTCCATTGTAGACGTGAGCAAACCTGTCAGATACACTAGAAATAGCATCGGCTGCTTCAGAACCAGCTGATTCAGCTACATCAGCAGGCTGGGGAGCAGAAATGTGTTCAAATTTAACACCAGATTCTTTTTCTATTCTGAAAATACTACGTGAAAATTTGGGTTCATACAGAAGGACAGCAACTCCAGTATTGCCTGAATGTATATATTTCACAGTGAGTGAAGCAAAATTAACATAAAAAGAGAATAGTACTAAACCATTTTTAACCTACCAGCTCTTCCAGTGCGCCCTGACCGATGGATATAAGCTTCAACATCTCGTGGAGGCTCACACTGCAGAATATGACAACAGGTAAGCCCAAAAAAATTGACAGAGACACCACAAACTTAATGGAAAAGCCATCTTCATGTGGCAAAAGCAAAATATGAAGTTAATTAAAAACCTGAACATCAGCTGGGCATAAATGTTGTCACACTGCCGAATGTGACAACAATTAAGCCCATAAAATTTGACAGACAACACAAACTGATTGGAAAAGCTATCTTCATCTGGCAAAATATGAAGTTAATTCAAATATTAAAACCTGGATAATCAGCTGGACATCATTGATATCCAAGCCCCGTGCAGCCACATTAGTCGCCACCAAAACTAGGAATCTGCCTGACCTGAATCCAGCAAGTATGACCTGAATGATGTCAAACATTAGTTTAAAATAAAAGGCAGATATATTTACTACATATAATGCTGAGTACAAGAAAATATGCTTCCATTAGCTGATAATATGAAATTCTTGCTATGCATATAGAACCCAATTTATAACAATGTGACGTTATCCACTTCACCATACTTACTTCTCGTTGGGCCTGCGCTATATCCCCGTGGAGAGCCCGTGCTCCAGGTAACAGTCCAGAAAGTTGAGATGCGGATTCTTTTGTCTCTGTGAAAATAATAGTACGACCTCCTCTGTATCAAAACAGTCGCACAGATAAAATTTTAGAAATTCATAGGTAAAAAAACATAGAATGCAAAGGAAAGATGTTCAGAAAAGTAACAGACCGACTATAACAGCGAATGACATCAGGAATAAGTTGAGGACGTGCTGCATGAGAACAGGGTAGGACAAGATGTCTAACACTGGCACTAGCCTTCAGTTTCTCATTGCCAACAAGATCTATAGTTTTCTTATCAGCTTTTAAAAACCTTGCAGAGATCTGGTAACATTTTAGAGAGACCAATCAGCTTCTAAAAACCTTGCTCAAATCAAGTAATTACTTAATAGAGGAGACAGGAAGAAGGGCTTGCTGATTAAAAAGCAGATATGATGGGAAGATGACAGAAGAAATGAAAGACACAAAATGTGCTTCTATAATAGCAAACAATTTAAACAGATCAAATGGAAGTATTGTAGAGTTATGAGACTGAGACCTTCTTGACCCAGTCAGGCAATGTTGCACTGAAGAGAAGTGTCTGGACCTTGGTTACATCCTCAACCTTGCCTGTAAATTCAGACAGAGAGAATCTAATCAGAGTTACAATCTAAGTGGGCATATAGATGCACTGACCATCTTTTCCAAACTATACACAAAGGAGCGGCAATAGATATATTTCATGAGTATGCTGGTAAAAGTAACCAGGCACAATCGCAGAAAGTTAAGTAACAACGAGTCGGAATATTCAGTCACAACTTTTACACCAACTGGACTGGCTTATAACCATTAATAAGTGTAAAGAATTCTGCTAAGCCACTATAAAATAATAAATTGAAGCCAATATAAGACCATATGAAAGGAAACCACCACATGCAAGCATGCTGATCTTTGAAGATATTAATGTTTTCATAATAAATAAATAAATAAAAGTGTTCTTCTCACTTGGGAGTTATCGCTTTGGGATGGAAAAGGCTCAAATAAATAGCGACACTTAGTAGAACAAATATTTGCCAACTACTTTAGCATCTACCATCTCGCTACTAAAATCTATGCTGAATTGGAAAATGTGAAAGAGAGAGAACCATATATAAAGATACAAAAAAAATCTTGTTTGTAACTTTTGATTCTGAGGCACAAAAATAGATCCCTTAAATGATGGTCCCTGCTAAGAAGCATCATTCTTCTTTGTTTTTAAACAAAAACAGAAAATAAAAAAATTACATAGAAAAACTATGTCTTGTGTCTCTAGATGAGAAAAATATTGTGAAATGGAAAATGCAATCATTAAAGAGGATTGCAGTCATCAGAATATGTAGAGGAAATACAACTAGTGAACTAATACTTTTGCTCTTTTTTTGACCAAATCAAAATGAAGACAAGCATATAACTGAGTATGCACTTCATACCAAGAATAAACTCAACATCATCAACAAAGCCCATGTTAAGCATTTCATCAGCTTCATCAAGGACCCGGAATTTCAACGTCTTTAAGTCAAGAGAATTCCTCTCTATAAGATCCTGCACAAGAGGAACACAAATAACATCAATGCTAATTCAAAAGGATTTAATCCTTTGAAGCTAACAATGCAAAAAAAAAGGTACCAACTCCAGAAAATATAGAGAAATGTACCTTCACCCGACCAGGTGTTCCAATTATTATATCAACCCCCCGCTTCAATGCATGTTCTTGGTCACGCATGGAAGCCCCTCCATAGACACAGCAGGCGGACAACCCCACTGCCCCGCCGTAGAACTCAAAGTCAACATGTACCTGAAAGTAAAATGGTCATGATTGTGAATAGTATAGATTCCAGATGTACTTAATCATCCATCAGAAGATTAAAGAAAACATGTCAAATTCAGACGTTACCTGTTTTGCAAGCTCCCTTGTAGGTAGAAGCACCAAAACGCTAGGGGTCCTACCATAGCCAGTCTTCCTTGAAGCTTTAAAAGGCCCGTTTGTTAAAGACTCCAATAAGGGCAACACAAACGCTAATGTTTTTCCCTGTACAAACCGTAACAAAGTTTAAGCATCTAATAAACACTAAAACAGCTACCAATATGAATTAGGGAATAAACCACTACGGATCAAACCTATAATACTTTATACAGTGACAATCAGATCAACTCATACACGTTCATACAAGAGTAAGTAACTACATGTTGAAATATCAATACTTATAAAAGCTATTCTTTTGCTGTATAACTTCAAGATATAGTAAGACAATCCCATCCATATCAATAGAATAAAGACTAGAGATCAATGCAACAGCATTGCTGCAGAACAAGTAAAAAAATGCCGAATATATGACCACTAAAAGCAGAGACAAATCAAAAATGACAGTTTTGAACAAAACCAAATGCAATTATCTGAATAAACATCCTGTAGTATACAATCTCTTATTCAAAGAACCAAAAGACAGCAATGGAGCAGGATTACAGTAGCAAATCAATGTGCATAATTGAAACTGAAACCCCATATGTACTTGTAATCAACATCAACGATTCACGTTTAATTTATGCCAACATTTGAATCACCAAAACTGACAGCCGTGTTTGTTATGAACATAATTTTTTCCTAACTTACAATTAGCCTTCGTGTCCTACCAATTATTACCTCAAATGTACCATAACTATAGCTAATTAGCATTAAAAAATAAAATGTGACATCATATCAATCCCCAAAATAATAAAAAGAACAGATTTATCATTACCTGACCAGTCCGAGCCCGGCCAACCAAATCAGACCCATCATGGACCAAATTAAACGTCATCGCCTGGATCGGAAACAAAGCCTCAATCCCCTTCGACTTCAATTTCGCCTTCACCGCCTCCGATATCCTAAACTTGGACAAAGAATTAGGGTTCTCGTCCTCAACAACCTTAGCCTTCTTCAAATTCGACCCATCGCTCAGCTCCTTGGTCTCCTCGTCTTCGTCATCATCATCAGCCTTCCTCTTCTTCTTCTTACTCTTCTTCTCGCTCTTCTCCGTCTCGTCCTCCGACGAATCCAGTTTCTTCTTCTCCTTCTTCTTCTTCTTCTCGGACTTCAGCTCCTCGATCGCGTGCCCGTTCTCGGTGTCGAGATCCATGGACTCGATCTTCTTCGACTTCTTCTTGATCTTTTTGGAGTCGGTGAGATCGGGGGAGGCTGAGAGAGGATCGGAGACGGCGAGTGAAGGCATTTGGAGTTAGGGTTACGGTTTTCGAAATAGCTGAGGTTGGGGTTAGGGTGTTTTTTAACGGCGGAGCCTCACCTGCGAAAAAATTGGAGCGGGGAGGAAAGAGGGAGAGAGAGAGTTAGGGTTTTGGTTTATATATAGGGGTTAACATTTGGAGGCTGGGGAAGTTTGGAGGAAGGAAACCCTAGCAGACTTCGCGCGTGCGAGTTTGAGAAGCGGCCGAGATATTTTCTCATGTTATTGGGCTTTGGGGGATGGGCCATTGTGGACTAGAAGAAGATGGGCTTGGTCTGGTGGGTGCAATGCCAGAAGCCCAAAATTAATGCGCTGTCCTTTAATAAAGGAATCTTGTATCCCGCCCCCTCTGACAAACTTTTCCTTCTTCCGGTCACCTTCACGAAAGTCATGCGCGCAAAAGCTTTTGATCCTACTTTTCTTTCTTCTAAACCCCTCCCTGTTTAAGGTAACTTATAGTCCCAAATTGCTGTCATCTTTAACTTCTTTTCCTCCTCCCTCTTAGAATGTTGTTCGGGTGGAACATTGTTCATGCAAATATCTCTTGTTTGATTAATAATACTTTCATTTAATACTGATATGTTTGTGAGATAATACTTCATGTATAGACACGGGTAGAAACTAGTTATGGTTCAAATCGATGCAAAAAATAACACGAATGTTGATTTCAGCCTTTGAACCATTAATTGTCGAGAGGTACCATTGATGATCAAGCAAGTCATCGGTAGACTACAGGAAAGAATCGGAGAAAGAAAATCAGAAATCGGACAATCGATGGTCTACAGTCCACCATCGATGATCGTAGGGACCATCGATGGACTACAGTCAACAATATGGAGATATTCAGAAATCAGAATTTACACAATGGATGGACTACATCGATGATTGTATCCCACAATCGATGGTTATGACATGTTTTGGCAGATTTTCAGATTTAATTTTAGTGTTAGTTGATTGATTTGATCTCCTATTGGAACTCAGATTTTAATATTCTCTTTCCTATCTTATTAAGGCTTATTTAAGAGGAGTCGAAGAACATAATTAAAAAAGAAATTTGAGGAGGCAAATATACAAAAAGGAGAGATCTTTGTTCTAAGGTTTGAGAGAGAGAGAGCACTGCTAGAAAATGAACTATTGCCGACGGAACTTTAGCGACGAAAAATTCTGTCGCTATAAGTCATGTTATAGCGACGAAATTTACCGTCGCTAATTTTCCGTCGGCAAAAGAGTTATGCCGACGGAAATTTCAATATTAACGACGGAAAATTTCCGTCGCCATTAATTTCCCGACAGAAATTTTCTGTCGGAAAATTTCCGTCGCTAAAAGGGATTTTAGCGACGGAAATTTCCGTCGCTAAAACTTTTTTTTTGGGCGCGGGCGTTTTTCTCTCCGTTCTCCCCAAAAAATTCATCCCACCGCCAAAAATTCATCCCCGAAAATTTCGTCCCACTGCCAAAAACTTCATCCCAAAAATTTCGTCACCCTCTCAAATCCCTAATCCCCTCCACCCCTCACCCTCTTCGTTGTCATCTCCTTCGACCGAGTACCGCGAGAGAAGCAGTAGGAGGAATGGCGGGAGCTCCGCCATCATCGTCCTCCTCCTCCTCCTCTTCCTCATCGGCGAACCCATCACCCATCAGGTCTTCCCCCGCCTCCGCCGCCTCCGAAGATCCTCCTTGCAAAACCCTCGCCGGTCCCCGCGGCCGCCCAGGACTCTTCCTCCGCCGGAGCTCCTCCGCCCTCCTCCGTCCCCAGTGGCTTTTTACTTCGGTCCTCTCGCAACGCTCCTCAACCAGGATCCCTAAATCTCTTCTCGGATACTTGGGAGTTCCACACTGAGAGAATCCTACCGGTGAGCTGTTCTGTCTTGTTAAAACCTAGAAATTGGCTTTTTAAACCCTAGAAATTGACTGAAGGGGGAAATTTTGGGGGTTTTATGATTTTTTTTGGATTCTTTGGTTGCAGTTTTTGATAGACAACACTGATTTCAATGTTGTTGGGATTATTGGGCCAACCGGAGTAAGCAAGTCGACTATTTTGAATGAGCTTTATGGATTTGATGGAAGCTCTCCTGGTAAATTGATCTATTTGATTTTCAAAATCCATTCTTTTTTTCATAATGTTCACTTTTGTGTTGATTACTTGCTCATTTTTTAAAAAGATTTTTTTAATAAATTAGTTTGCTATATTTTCTCCGATAATTAGATGCCTAGTTGAGATTCCACCATGGTGATTTTGACCTAGAATATTTTGTTTAAGGAACATTGAATATGCACTATATATATATACTTTAAGTGGTTCCTCATAATTTTACATGCTTATTAAAGCAGTAGCTTCTTAAAGCAGTAGCTTCTCAAAGCAATAGCTTCTTATACCATGAGATGATAAAACAATTATGCTCATGTTGACTCATATGGATATTAATTTGGTGCATTCAATTTGTCAGCATGAGACATTTGATTTATTAGTGTTCTAACGTTTCTTTACATGCTTTAGACAAGATAACTGTTGTAGACGAAAGCACTGCGTCATAGTCAAATACGTTAATTGTCCAAAAGTCATGTAAATACACAATTGCATGTGCATATTTTTCTAAACATACTCTACTTTGACATATAAAGTAATGCATGTTTAGTCATTGTCCTTAAAAGAAAGAATTGCTTTACTAGAATGATTGGTAAATAATAGCTTAGCGTTTTGTAAATTTCAGACACGAGTGGACACATGTATTGTATTTGGTCTGTCTCATGGAACTATCCTACATAACATAGGTTTCTGATCAGGAAGCTGACTAAAATTAGTTTGCTCCTAGGAATGCTTCCGCCTTTTGCAACGCAGTCTGAAGAAACCATAGCCATGGCAAAACATTGTACTGCTGGGGTTGAGCTGAGGGTTTCTTCTGAAAGGCTAATCCTCCTTGATGCTGATTCATTTATATTTGTGAATATTTATGGGCAAAGTAACTTTATATTGTAAATTCATTGTGGTCTTAATTGGGTGATGCAGCTCAGTTGTCATGATGTCTCTCTTGCCATGAAGGCTGTTTTTGATCGGTTCCAATCTGTTATAATTACTTCTGGAACTCTGAGCCTGATCGATCTGTATCCTCGATTGTTAAATTTCAGTCCTGTGATTAGTCGGAGTTTTACAATGTCTTTGACCAGAGACTGTATATGCCCCATGGTTCTTACTCGCGGAAGGTATTGATTGATCAAAGCTTGATTGATCAAAGCAAACAATCTTATGTAGACTATAAGTTTATACAGTTGCACAGTCCTATTCTTGCTCATATATATGAGGCTTCAATATCTCTTATGAAGGTAAGCACACATACAAGAGGAACATAATATGCAAGTATTTTTTATTGTTGACTATTTGCTCTATTGGAAAGCTTTATTAAGGTGGGATTACATGCATTTATCTGATCAGTAATATTTTATTCAGGTGACCGAAGAGATGAAGAATGAGCAATAGCACTTGAAAAGTATGTTAAGACTATGGATTCTTTGACACTGAAGTTACTACAAGAGATGTTATGCATGGAATTTCTAGTGATGTTGCCCAAATTCAAGAAGTCATGGGGAAAATGTTAAGCTTCATATTTCTTTTTGGTTTCTGTTTTTCTTTGACCGAGTTTAGTTGGTAAGATACTGTTATGTTGATTTTTATAATATGATGATGACTTGCAATGGTTGATTGAGAATGCAAATTCACTGTTATTTTAGCTAGAATACATTAAAATAATAATGTTTTTCTAAGAAATGAATTATGTATTGATTGAGTCCGTAGTATATTGTCTTCTCAAAAAGTTTAATAGCAAATTGTTATTTTCTTGAGTTGTTCCTTATATTTGAGAAGCAACTAATCACACATTACAAGAAAGTAATATGACCTATTAATTTGATAACCTTCAAGGTTCTGACGCATCATTATTTGCTAACTAACTACTATCTTGTATAAGTTTAGTTCTACAAGGTACAATTTATTTGTTTGGAATGATAAGGACTAAATACTGTATTAATGATATCATTCAACATCGTAATAATTGATGGATGCCGCTCTTTTGTGAATAAAGCAATTAGGATCAATGATTCATATTGCCACAAATTGTCCTAAGTTTGGCCATATGGTGAGAATTGAAAGATATAGTCCTTGTTGTGTACGCCCCTAAACTGTCTTGTTGAATTCTCATTTGTCCTTAGCCTGATGCTTTAGCATTCCCATTAAAAACACATAAATTATTATAATCGATTTGAACTAAGTGTTGTACATCATTAAGTATGTGGGTTAAGCTTTACTTATTTAAGCAGAAGAGAGAAGAAAAGACATCGTTTTAAAGTTTTACTCGGCTCTTTCCATTAATTCTCTTTTAACTTTGACCTCTAGATAGTTTAAAGAGAACCTAAGGCCGGCTTGACTCATACTCAATTGACTAATGTAAAGCCGGCTGGTGAAAGTGTTTTCTGTTGCCTATGCTTGTAAAATAAATAAAACCTTTAAAAATGTATCATGTAGCATTAATTAGTTGGATGTTTCCTACATCCAGTGTGCTTATGAAGCATACACTTTTTTGGATTCTTTGGTTGCAGTTTTTGACAGACAACACTGATTTCAATGTTGTTGGGATTATTGGGCCAACCGGAGTGGGCAAGTCGACTATTTTGAATGAGCTTTATGGATTTGATGGAAGCTCTCCTGGTATATTGATCTATTTGATTTTCAAAATCCATTCTTTTTTTCATAATGTTCACTTTTGTGTTGATTACTTGCTCATTTTTTAAAAAGATTTTTTTAATAAATTAGTTTGCTATATTTTCTCCGATAATTAGATGCCTAGTTGAGATTCCACCATGGTGATTTTGACCTAGAATATTTTGTTTAAGGAACATTGAATATGCACTATATATATATGTACTTTAAAGCAGTAGCTTCTTAAAGCAATAGCTTCTTATACCATGAGATGATAAAACAATTATGCTCATGTTGACTCATATGGATATTAATTTGGTGCATTCAATTTGTCAGCATGAGACATTTGATTTATTAGTGTTCTAACGTTTCTTTACATGCTTTAGACAAGATAACTGTTGTAGACGAAAGCACTGCGTCATAGTCAAATACGTTAATTGTCCAAAAGTCATGTAAATACACAATTGCATGTGCATATTTTTCTAAACATACTCTACTTTGACATATAAAGTAATGCATGTTTAGTCATTGTCCTTAAAAGAAAGAATTACTTTACTAGAATGATTGGTAAATAATAGCTTAGCGTTTTGTAAATTTCAGACACGAGTGGACACATGTATTGTATTTGGTCTGTCTCATGGAACTATCCTACATAACATAGGTTTCTGATCAGGAAGCTGACTAAAATTAGTTTGCTCCTAGGAATGCTTCGGCCTTTTGCAACACAGTCTGAAGAAACCATAGCCATGGCAAAACATTGTACTGCTGGGGTTGAGCTGAGGGTTTCTTCTGAAAGGCTAATCCTCCTTGATGCTCAGGTTTGTACTAGAATTGCTCACTTGTTATGTTTTTGTTGTATTGTAGAAACTCGATACTATAATTGATCAGTTAATGTAATTTTAATTTCTTGCATTTGTTATTAGTGATGAGGTGGTCATCTACTTTTCCTAGTGAATTTATTATGCATTTTTATCTTGAAGCATTTTCTTAATATGGAGGATTCTCCAGGAAACCTATAAGATAAACGAGCATCAAATATCTTCAACAAACATATTTTGATTGGGCGCTCCAATCTTTGCACGACAGTCCTTCTAATCTACCAACTATACTAATTCGCTGCATAGTTGTTGGTAAATGATTGACAAAATTTGATAGTTAATTCTCAGTAAGTAGCCAGATCACCAGTATCGTGATTGTAGTAAAGTAAACTATTGTCTCAAAAACTTAGGCAAGAAGAAGGTTTGTAAAATATTGAAGGTTTATTATAGGTATAGATACCTTCTATTGCAATTTATACTTATGCCATGTTCTTAGTCCTGAGCGAGATTTATCGTTTTTTTCATTCTTAAGTGGAAACTCCTTATCATTCACAGACATGATAAGTCTAGAAAATGGAATATGCTCAAAACTCAACCTATGTTGTAGACTATAGCCTATGTGGTGTACATTTTCCTTCTTTCGTAATAACCAGACATTACAATTTACTGAGAAACATTTTTCTGTCCGGAAGACACTTTTCATTATCTTTTTGTCTAAATTGTCAATGTAATAGCATTGTTTTGTATTTTATTGCTTCTAGTTGTAAGAGCTAATATCATTGTGTGCTCAGCCATTGTTCAGCCCTTCTGTTTTAGTTGATATGATGAGACCTGATGGTTTATCTACAATTTATGTACTTAATGGAGAGTCCCTATCAGCAGATCTCGCTCATGAATTGTTGGGAATTCAGGTGATCATTTGAATAGAAGCGAGTTTCTTTACACCCTTATGTTACAGAAGGTTCTTGGCTTCATGATATCTGATCAGAGCAATTTTCTCTTTTCTTGTAATGCAAGGAACCGTTGTAGATTGGTGTTTTCCTACTATCTGTCTGCAACGTGCTGCTGGTTGCATCAGAGGGAATTTATGATTTTGGCATGTGGAAGTTGATGCTGACAGTACGCCCTAGAGCTAAAAAAAACCCCTGATCTTTATATTTCAGTCACATCTTTCTGCTTAAATTGCAATCCCATCTATCTATGCATGCATGTGCTTCATGCCCAAACAGTTGGATATCCATATGCTTAATTTGATAACCTTCAAGGTTCTGACGCATCATTATTTGCTAACTAACTACTATCTTGTATAAGTTTAGCTCTACAAGGTACAATTTATTTGTTTGGAATGATAAGGACTAAATATTGTATTAATGATATCATTCAACATCGTAATAATTGATGGATGCCGCTCTTTAGTGAATAAAGCAATTAGGATCAATGATTCATATTGCCACAAATTGTCCTAAGTTTGGCCATGTGGTGACAATTGAAAGATAGTCCATGTTGTGGTGCTGTGTTGTGTTGTGGTGGGCGTTATTTGATTGGTTGGTGTTAGGTTTGGTCATGGTGGAGGAGGGGGAGGTGTAGGGATTGGGTGGTGGTGGTGGTGATGTAGGGGGAGGGGGTGGTTGGTGTGGAGTGTGGTGGGTAGGTGGGTGGTGGCTTTGGTCGTGGTTGAGGAGGGAGGGGGTGCAGATTTGGTGCGTGTACGCGTGCGTGCGTATACGCGTGCATGCGTGTATATAAGAATATGTGCGTGCTTATAATACATAAGAATATGTCATGATACTCTCTTCGAAACATATAATATATAAGAATATATCATGATACTCTCTTATTGCTATACTTGCATTTCATGCCATGTTGTTAACGTTTGTTTTATATTTACAGGCTTGGACTTCTAGACAAGGTGGAGCTGGTGATGAGGATGATGATGATCAAAAGGACTGATTTTTTTTTACCTTTGAAAACAATGAGTGTGTGCTGTATAAACAATATTTATCATGGTGTGTGTTGTATAAATAATTTTAATTATGTTGGGATATTTTTATTAAAATATTTGTGTTATATATGTGTGGGAATGAATATTATATTGTTGATTGAATAGGGTTTTAAATTCATTATATTATTGTACAGGTTTTTTAATTTTCAAAATAATTTTTAAAAAAATATTGGAAATATTTAGCCACGGATTAGCCGTCGCTATAGACCCTTTTAGCGACAGAAAACATACACGAGACATGATAATAGCGGCAGAATATCCGTCGCTAAAGTTTTTGTTTTTTAGCGACGGATTTTCTGTCGCTAAAAGTTACATTGGCGACGGATTTTCCATCGCTAATGTCACTTTTAGCGACGGAAATTTTTTCCCCTTTTTTTAAAAAAAAAATAGAACGACGGATTTTCTGTTGCTAATTATCCGTCGCTGATTTTTAGCGACGGATTATCCGTCACTAAAAGTTGTTTTATCTACCCTCAATATACTGACGGTATTTTGGCGACGGAATTTATTTTTTTCCGTCGCTAAAAGATTTAGCGACGGATTTTTGACTTTTAGCGACGGATTTGTCCGTCGCTAAAAGTCCTGTTTATAGTAGTGGAGAGAGAGTTAGTTGATCTAATCCTCTGAGCCTCATTCAACTTATTCTTTGTGTGCTTTTCATCGGAGTTCGATTCAGCAAGAAGGAGTGCCCTACGCTTACATCGCTACACCGCTTCTTCACGGATCTTTATCTTCATCAATTTCAAGAACGATTTAATAAAATGTTGTAAGATTGTTCTTTTCGTATTTTAATTGTTTTGGTTGGTTGTATCCAAACATGTAAGTTTGATGGCGTACTCAAGCCAGAGTAATTGATGGTTAGCGTACTCAAGCCAGGGTAATTGAGGGCTTAGCTAGCTAGGACTAGGTTTCTTCTGGTCATTGTAAAGAGTTGGTCAGACGACTGAGTTTGGGTAGATTTCAGGGTGCGGTCTTTGAAGCCTACTGAATCGGGTTGTGATTCAGATGAACTCTTGTCATCTTGAGGAAACCTATTCACAAGAAGAAAGAGTGGACATATGATTTTGATCCAAACCACTACAAAAATCTTGTGTGTTCCTGTATTAGTTTGGTTTTAGTTTTTCACTTACTATATTTCAACTGCTTATTCTGAGTTAGTCAAAATTATGTAGCAATCATATTCACCCCTTTAAACTTGTATCCCAGTTCTAACAAGTAGTATATTTCTGCCACCTCCTTCTCTATTTCGACCAGCGCCATAGCGCGGTCCCTCTCCTGGAGAGCCTCCTCCATTCTCCTGGCCTTCCTCTCACTCTCCTCAAGCTCCCTCCTGAGCCTATTGACCTCGGAAGCGTCTGGGGCTGGCATCTCAGCAACCTGCTCCGAGTCAACCCCTCTGTCGGTCCTCAGAGAAGTAACCTCCCCTAGAAGCTTGAGATATGCGATCCAAACCCGCTCCATCCGGTCGTATAACTCTGTCTCCACCAACGCGCCTCGAATCAAGTAGTTGTGGAGGCTTAGTTGGAGACCGACATCAGGAACCTCTTATAAAAACTCATCATCTCGAGGAAATCAGAACTGCTCGACTGCCTTCGACTAAGTCCGGCGAGAGCCCAGGAAAATCCCCCTGACGTCGAGATGGTGATCAGGCTCGAAGAGCTGCTCTAGGTCGGGCTCCTGCTCATATCAAGAGCCGACCCCTTTAGTCTCGATGAGGTATTGCCTCATCCTCTCCCATTCTTCTTCTCTGATGTCAATGACGCAGTGAGGAAAGGGATATTCTAGCCCTTCGGGTGGCACCGGGTTGTCTAGTAGGTGCTCGACTCAACGAGAGCCAGCATACGCCTTGATCTGATCAAGCGCATTTCTCTCGACGACGGACCACTCGCCCTCCAGGGGCGCCTCCCTCCTTATATCGAGCCAGTTCGAGCAGCTCAACTCCAGGTCGTCCACCATGACCTAGATGAACTTCTCCTTCCAGTCCTTGTGCGAATCTAGAAGGCTAGTTATGAGCCTGAACTTACCCCACCATTTGGAAATGGTAGTGGGGGTTCAATTTGGTTCACCTTCACTTTCATTAGGTGGCCCAAGACCCGTAAGGACGGTTTTATTCCTAGCCGGTGGCAAATCACCACAAACGCCACCAAAGTGTAGGCGTAAAAAAATGCTAAAAGATATCCAAATACAGCTCAAGAGGAGATCATTAAAAAAATCAAAAGAATATAGATATGAATTGTCTCGCCAGCGAGACAGTGTTTACTGTCTCGCAGCGAGACAGTCTTTTACTGTCTCTGTCTCGCGGGCCGAGACAGCAAACACTGTCTCGCCCGCCGAGACAGCAAACACTGTCTCGGCAGCCGAGATAGCAAATGCTGTCTCGCGAGCATATTTCCTCTAACTGTTCCTGGAGGCTATAAATACCCGCTGAGATCGATTTTTTGAGGGGCTGATCATTTTTTAGCATTTTGGAGCAAACACAACAGAGTTCCTGAGCTTCTGGCAATTCCTTGAGATTCGAGCTTTGACTTGATCTTAAGAAGAGTGATCGTCTTACTTTGATAAGATCTTCACTTCAAATTCCTATTTCGATAAACGAAGGAAGAATCACTTAACCCCTCACGATTCAATCAGAATCTATGATTTGGTGGTCCACGAGTCAAAGCGCTCCCGGCACAGGCAAAGATCCCACGCAAGCAGCGATCCAAACAACGATCCTGCGTTTGTTTCTAAAAAGTTATAATTTTCATTTTGTTGTGTAAAAGAAATCTTATAAAAAGGCTATTTCTTTTTGAATTTATTGTAATCGATCGAAGATATAATGAATTCTACAGCAAGAGCAACTTTTGACCCAAACAAACTGGCGACCACAGTGGGAGCCAACAGTTTCGCTGCCGAGACCGTCGTGTCGCAGCCGATCAAGATTTGGTTGAGTCCATGGTTGAATATGAATTCGACCAAGCAAAGTTTGAGGAATATCTGTCATCCTCGTCCTTAAAGTTTTCCTCGCCTCACAAATGCAGGAAAATTTCGTCTTCTAAGAAGGTTTTTAAGTTTTCGACTCCGTCGAACATTACAAATGAAGACTCTCGCCTGATTGTTGTTGAGAATTCTACTCGCAACATCTCTGCTCACGATGACTCTTATCTAGTTAAAGAGTCATCGAATCAAAGCCCACCGGTGCTGACGAAGAGAGCTCGTCAGAGACAGCGCCAGCGCCGTGTTCGACAATTGGCTAAGGCCTTGGAACAAACCGACGGAGTTCGTTATTATACGGACTTAGAGTCGAGGAAACAACAAGTGGTTTGTTCAACTCAACGACAAACTACTCACATTTCTGCACAACTCACGATGGAGGAATGGACTCTCGTCAAAAGGGCTCGGTCAACCCTCAAAGAACGTATACAAAAGCGTCGTGCAAACGCTGCTCATGCCCGTGCTCTCTTACAACAAAAACGAGAAAGAAACAAGGAGATGGTGGCCAAAGAACCACCAAAACTCTGCAAAGTTTGGATTCCAAAGTCTGGAGTTGTACAAAATCAGCATTCGGAGCCCGTTAAGACTCCACACCCACAAGGGGTGGTTCTAAACGTGTGACTTCTGAAATAACCTTGGATCGCTCAAAGGCAACAATAATTTGTCCTAAGAATGCCAACAAGGTTTTACACCCCCAGAAGAAGACGTGTTCACCAAAAGACATCATTATGCCTGGGAGGTCATACCAATAGACGATAGGATTTTTCGGCAATCATACCGATGAATCGTACTATCAAGCTGTGGATTTGAATAGATTTCGAAAGAGAATTATTCGAGAAATAAACTCTTATTGTTCCTGTGCTCGACTTATAAGAGCAGCATTGTCGGAATGTGACTACTCCAAACGAGAAGCCATCCCACGAAGAGCCTCGGTATTCCACAGTCTTTTCACCAAAATATCGAAGCCTAAGCCGAGACATTTCCGCAAGAGAAGATCAGCTGTCCAAGATGACGAATTCTCTGAAGTCACCATCAACATGGCTGATAAAGGAAAATCTAAGCGGCATTCAAGTGAATCAAATCCTGACTTTTTCCCGAGAGGAAAAGTCAATTCAAGAATTGCCCAACAGATGTCCCGACTCTAGTTAAGAGCCATCAGACATAGGGACTACAAGAGAATGCATGAAGGAAAGTCATCAGAGGATGAGCTCTCGGACACTTGTTCTGCGATCGCTTCAGATGATACAATATCTAGTACAGGGCAAACCAGAGAAGTACTCACAATCACCTCTGATCAGTTCGCTCAAATACTTCAAGAAGCTCTAGCCAAACAACGTGAAGAAATTAGAGCTGAGATGAAGACAGAGATGGAGTTAGCTATCCAACAAATGAGAGAATTGCTAGCTCAACAGCCTTAATCTCCTGAGTCCAGTCAGCGAGCCGAATCCAGCCGCCACACTCAGAATGTTGTAAATGATAGTGATCCAGAAGTGGATGAAGTCATTACGGCTGATCTCCTCCCAATAGCAATAACGCTGGGGGTGGTTTAACAGATCCTCCCAATAACGATATTGGTGGTGGTTCAATAGCACCTCTTACAGGGGTTGGTCTAATCATTCTCCTCAACGTCACGCGAATGAAGACATAAACGATGACGGGAAAATAAAAGAGCTTGAAAACAAAGTCAATGCTTTGATGACGGCTCAAGAAGTAAAGAAAACGGGTATTCCGTGTCCCTATCCAAGAGAATGGGATTCAATACCGTACCCAGCAAAATTCAATTTGATTAACTTCACACCGTTCGACGGGAAAAGCTCGCCTACTCAACACTTGATTTATTTCAAGTCTCATTTGGGCATGATCTCTGGAAACGATGCTTTAATGGTCCGGTCATTCGTTGGCACCCTTCGTAGGCCCGCCTTCGATTGGTATCGACGTCTCAAGCTAGGGAGCGTCAATTGCTGGGATGACATGGAAAGTTTGTTCCTCAGCAATTTCTTCGATGATGACACCGAAGTGTCAATCAGAACCCTTTTAGATGAGAAGCAAAAAGACGGAGAGTCAGTCGACAATTTTGTCAAACGCTTCCGTAACAAAG